TTTTGCTCTTACAGAGCAAGCATTCCAGGTGACGATAGTTAGCGGTTTAGACGCCATACTGGATGATGAACTTACCGAGCACTTGGATCTGTTCGGGCTTATTGCGGCATTTACGAAGAGCACCGGACATGTTGACGAAGATTTCCATCAGTTCATCCGCTGAGAACAGATCGGGGTTGTTGTTTTGCGCTGTTGGTTGTCTCCAGAATCCAGGGTGGGATGGAGAGCTTTGGCCAGCAGAATCACCGGAAGCTTCTTGAGGAGGGGCGGGTTGCACCCGCGAATTCGCTTGCCTTTGCTGGGGAGCACGAAGAGGCGGAAAATCCTCCGTCCTGAATGCTGGGGTTTTGTCCTTCTTGCGTCCTGGTTGATTGTTGCTAGACGCCTGCTTTCGGATGCGTTTGAAGTCCTCGCGTTTGGAGCACTGTCTGTCAGAACCTTGATGTGCACCACCACAGTTAGCGCATTTTATCGCCACGGCTCCATCCGCAGGGCAGTTGGAAGTGGCGTGTTCTTGAGCGCAGTTGCTGCAGCGTGGCTTGATGTTGCAGTTGCGGGTACCGTGTCCAAAATTGAGGCACCGCTGGCACTGCGTTACGTCACGATGACCGCCACGGTATGGCTCCCACCGTACGATGATGGAGTAGATCGATCGGATGGCTTGTAGCGCATTGAGCGTCACCGTCCCTTTCTGGAAGTGCACCAGGAAAAGACAATCCGGGTACGTCTTCACGTTTTCGTCTCTCCTTGTCATTCGGAAGACAGCGATTGGGGCAAGCTTGTACCGGTTGATTTCAGCTTCGACCATCTTGGGGTCGAAGTTTGGTAGACCCCTGATGACTACCTTGAAGGGCTTCTCACCGGGGATGTCGTGCGTGAAGAATTCCGCCTTGGTATCCTTCAGATATTTCACGGCCACTTCGTACTCCGCTTTTGTTCGGAGCATCACCTTGGTGCCGATCCTGCCGAGCTTAAACTCAGCTGCAACGCCCAGCGATGAAAGATCGCCAATCAGCGTGTTGAGTGGGACTTGCTTCACCACCAGTGGAGGAAGCTTCATTTTTGCTGCACTCGGGCTGGCAGCAGTTTCGTTGTCGACGGCGTCGCCGAAATCACCAATGACGCTGACGTTCGTCGCGGTGGCATCGTCCCGTCCACTCGCACCATCGGACTGGCCTTGATTTTTCTTCCTCTTCTTAGACCGCTTCACCGTGGCTGAGGTGGGATTCCCTACATCGGTGGGAAGAGTAGCGTACCTATTCGAAATAGGTACACTCAAGCTACCCTCACCGCTGTTCTTCTTCTCCGTTTTCTCTCGGAGCCTGCTCCGGGAGCGCTGTCTTCCCATCACACGAAGCGACCGACACTACTGACGACGCGATTAACTGCGAATGTTTGGAACAAACTAGAAACTTTAGAACAACTCGACAGAGCGAGCAAAGACCGAACTGTACTGCTTGACGTTCAAGCAGAGAATGCGAGCCGTGTGAGCAGTGGCATGAGAGCAGCGCTGATTTATATCTTTTCAGGTTCAAGCTGAATGATGTGCAACCAAGTGGTATTCGTTTATGATGACTGGGTTTGGGAAAAAGGCTTATTTCATGAAATCAGTGATAAAATTATCATTTGTACATTTTCAAAAGTATAATTACAGAAAAATTGGAAAAATATTTATTTCAACAGGTTTGTAATGTAATATCCTATCGATTGGCGTATTTGGATTTTAATTTCATCTATAAATGACAAAGTTACAAGCGTTCAAAACCTAACACTCCTTCATCACACATATTTTTTTATTTGCACCCCAGTATAGTCGACAAAGACGTAGTTCTACGTCAAAATAGCTATTACCATTGTACAATGGCGTCCTAGATAGCCTAGTCGGAAAAGACACGGTATTCCCAATTCGGAGGTGGCTGGATCGATTCCCAGTTCGGTCGAGGAAATGTTTCAGATTGAAAATTTTCTCGACTTCCCTGAGCTTAAAGTATATATCTCGCGCAACACGAGAAGAGAGCCTATCATAGTTGAACGATTCTCTTCATCGATTTTCTCTTTCGCGGATAACCCAACTTCAAATGGATTTCCCATTCAGTGTGTTGATTCAGGCGCAAGCTAACATCATCTTCTGTTGAGCTGTGCTGCGAGCTTAGCGAGAAATTCGTTTATGTTGCCGTGGTAAACCAAAAAGAGAGTCGATGAACGAGGACAGGCCCTTTTCAAATGTTACGCGGGATATGTATGTGCTTGCCACACAATTTGCAAATTCATGCATTGGTTGGCATAGAAAGCTTATAATAAAAAGTGCATTTAGAACCTTAGGTTGAGAGCTGACAAACGTTTGCTACAGGAGTGTAGAAAAGCTTAAAAGAGATTGGAGAGTTGTAGATGTGCTATGGGTAAAACACCCTAAGCAATTTCACTGTTTTCTCTTTTATAAACCTATGGACATATCGCATGAAGTAAAGCTTTCATATATATGTTAAATTAGCAACATAGCCATAATCAAGCGGATGCATTTGTTTTCATTTACATGTCATCACAGCTCCTGATGTTTGGACAGCTTAAAATACTTTTCGAGTAGGATGGCTGTATATTTAAAACTGAATCTATATATTTTTACCATGATTTAGCTACCTGTTCAGTTTACCTTACGTTTTCATTTAACACCCAGTTCCCTACAACGTCACAGAATATTCATTCCTACAGTAGAAGGAGGGTTATATTATACCTCAATCTCAACAGAATCAAGTGTACAGATCAACAAAAAAATTACTTATTGTTGTACCATTCACTTCATTTCACTCGTTTCGTAGTTTTTGCTGTTCTCTCACATAACTGACTCAGCTTGGCTCGTGTTTTATACAAGAAATATTCAAAACAATTCTTTGATAGATTTGGTTTAATTTAATTATGTGTTTCTCTGGAAAAAAATATGCGTTTCTATGAAAACATATATTGATGTTAAGAGGAAGAGTATTCATTGGTTGTAAAATGAAAGATAATTAGCGAAATATACTCAGGAATGAAATATTTTCTTATTACGTTCAACAAAAAGGGAAAAATTCCTGAAGGAGACGCAGACAAACAAATTACTTTCTGACGTGAATCATGAATGTTGTATTGCCAATTTAGAGAAAAAATAGCATTTGGCGTCAGATTATTTGACAACAGTAGCTTTAATAGCTTCCTTTGCTTATCAGTTGCGTTGAATTTTTTCCCAGAAATGTTAATAGCAGGTTGACTAAATAGTTTCCTCCCAACTGTCATTCTGGAGTCATTACTAGGTGCTAGACGGAAGCACCGAGACCTACACCGACACATGTATGTTTTAGGAGCACTGGTTAAAGCAGTAAAACTCGTTCCTTTTGCATTTTTACCTCCACTCTGTCACGATCATACAAACGCGGAAACGTAATAAATCTGTCTTCAACGTATCCGTCTTCGTTGTTGAACTTTTGAATTGTGGCGTTTTGCTTCCTGTACGTTTTCTTTTCTATGCATCTGCTCTAGTAAATATTAATCATTCACGACGAAAATGTCACAACTGGCTTTGTGACTATGAGTCAAGGAGTACAAAAAGCCACTGTCAATTAATCACATAGTCGAGAAGTTTTTCAGACGACGTTCATCCAAATATCTAAAGAAAAGGAGGCAATACACTGCTGAGGAGAGCATAAATAAGTCCCTAGGGTTGAGAACTACTTCCGCATAAGTGCACATTTCCGTCATATCGAACATAAACGTCATATATGAGTTATTCTCGTTGAAACCAGGCCGCCATTGCTACATGGTCTTTAAATATTTAAATATATCCACTTGATAAGTCGAAACTGATGTAAAAATGAGATTTTCACTTTCTTTAGCACAAATTAACTGACCCCTCGCTTGCTAAGGAGCCTTGCAGTTTTCAAATTAAATATTTGAAAGTTTATATGGAACCCTCCGGAAAACAACACGTTATTAAAAAGATGACGGATAGGGTTTCCATTCAGATTGGAAATGTTTTGGCCATCTTGGATTTGGCTGCCATATTGGATTTTATCAGAAAAGCGTATTTTTAACTATGTCCGTAATTACCGAGAGAAAAAAAAATTATCAGATGCACCCAACCGATTAGGTAAGCAATGACATTAACACAATTTTTCTATAACGATCAACGCCCAGTTTTGATATTTTTTCGACATTGTCTGATCAAAGTAGGAAAATTATTGTGTACATTGTAAATTAATGGTACTTAACAATCGATTCCAATGCACATCTCATTGTTGTCAAAAATGCTAATGAGACTGTTATGCCGCACAGGGCAGTACAGGGCATAACTATTTTCTTCGGTTTAATTCATTTTGTGATTACTCGGTATCGGTGAAGTTTAAATTTTCCAAGGGCCAACCCCCAGATTTGTTGCTTTAGGTGAGAAAACTATTCTCTTAATGTTTCAGCTCATTTGGTTTGAAGATGAAGTGGTGCTTTTAGGTTGAATTTCGTATGGGACATTTGGATAAAATACATTAAAAATGACACCTCTACACTCTTTCGATCATACAAAAGTTTCCTTATTCTCAATTTGATTCAGATTTTCAAAACATGTAGTCCATACAATTAGTAAGAACTTTCATAAACTCAGTTACTTTATTGAGATATTTGTATTTGAATGTATATGAGCATTTTGTATATGAACATTTCAACCAAATAACCTATTTAAACAATAAACCAAAACCGCCAGCCCGTGCAGCTGAATCAATCAGAGAGTGGTTATCTCCCCTAAAGACACGAGTCTGGATAATGGTCTGTGAAAAATATGATCTTTTATTTTTTTAGTGATGCGTGTTTTTGCTGCAATATAAGTACAAACCCAAGTAACATTGCAGGTTTTTTCGAGGTTTCCTTCCACTTAATGCACTCAGTATCCTCACCAGGGTGATGCCGATAGGGATCATTCCGGTGATAACGCATACTGCTTCCGACGAGATGGTTCTGTTTCCTAGGTTCTGCTTTATTTACAGCACTGCAACCCAGGCTGGACCTCCATACCTCAGTATCAACGTAGATATACTAGCCAGGAGACGTCTATTGATTGCTTCAGAGTTGTTCGGCATGATTCTGGCAACCGCGTTGATGTCCTTCACCGGTTTCTCGCAGTCGCAGTCAACGTAGCTGTTGAAATTTAGCCGATCGTTGTACATCAGTCCCAGGTATTTCAGCACGCGCTTCGAGGCTATGGCGACGGTGATTTCTGCCCACTGCACCGCTTTGCAGTTGCTGACCAACAGCACTTCCGTATTGTGCTGGGATATCTGCAACTTCGCTCCTTGAATCCAGTTTCCAATCGTATCGATCGCCTCAGTGGCCAACAGTTCCACTTCTTTCAGCATCTCACCTGTTACCGTTCAAACGATGTCGTTCGCAAAACCAAAGATGTTATAGCCTTTCGGTATACCTAACACAGATGTAAGAGAATGGCAATACAATCATTCTTTAAATCGTAAGATACACATTTTTTATGGTGTCTTTATAATTGATTCCGAGGATGAAGGTACAACTATTCCAGAAAATATTTCCACATCGTCGGACTGAGCTAATCATCATGTCTTAACGATCTACCGATGGTGTTGATTTTTCTGGAGGCAATGCTGGTCAAAAGTTTTGAGCATAATATTATATCAACATTTATAGGTACTACTTCACCATCAATTGCAAACAAAGTTGAACGTCTGAAACGAGAGAAGTTGGAAACTAATTAATTGAAGTTTACCTTTTATAATCTTTGCCCCGAGTAGCTGTCCTCTTCCCGGAATGAGTGGCCTGCTCTATTTGTACTTCTGTCCGTGCTTCGAAAGTCTGCTCTTTGAGTCGATAAATTAAGCGCCATCAGAGTGTATATATCCCAAAAGTTTCTATTGACAAGCGTTCGCGGTGTGTTGGAAATTTGTTTCTCTTTCGACTGTTTGCTACAGCTACACTCCTGGACATAGTTTCATTGATGATTCAAAAGACATGCTTTGAATCTGCTTTTATTAGACTTTTCGGTGGTTGTAGGAGGTAATAAACTTTTGATTTATTGAGAAATTTATTGAATATAATTTAAATTTTTTCAGTCACTATTCGCTATTGGAAATAGTTAAATTTATGACTTCAGATTTTCAAATGAATGGTAAAATTATATTTTACGGATAACCGCCAACTCTTGCAGCATTCACTCTGTAAAATTTATCTGTGTTATGCAAAACACATACACCTATCCGGGAAATGTAAGATTCTATTACAGATTTGCATAAAAAGTATACAGCATTTGTAATGTTTCTCCGCATGAACAGATTATGTAATATGGTCATCGGAAGGTTTTATGAAGAAAATTGTAATCTTTATGTTAGCTGAATTTCCAAAGAAAGATTTTTTCCCCAAATGCAAGCAAATCATCTCGTGAAGGTTTTTTTTTTTTTTTTTTTTTTTTCATTCTGAGCAGTTCCACACAGATTCGCAAATCGTTTCGGCTCAACCTTTTATGATTATGATGAAACTTTGCACAGTTGTTTGTTTTTTCCCAACATGCCATTTAACATATTTGGTTCCCTAATTTTGCACACGAATAACACTTGAAAAGGGCTTATGCAAAAATGATACGCATCAATAGAAAAATATAGATCTCGTGAACGATTTGTTTGATCGAGATGGTGTCTTTGAAGAAGTTGTGGACAAGTATTGTGCCTTCCAAGAAAAAAAAAAATACACTGTAAAAAATTATAATTTTTTTTACAAAAAAAAAATTACATTATCAAAAAAAATTAAAATTACTCAAATTGCATATCTTTTTAAAATATTTTTTTTATATTTACTTTGTAGCTTAGGTAAAGTAATACCTATTGACCAGAGCTGGTAAATATCACGGCAGTCATGCAACAATGAGAAAACAGTTTCTCTCACTATCACTAGACGAAACGACCGATCATAAGCTTTCTTGTCATTTTCCAATGATCGAGCACTCATGAGAATAATTATTATGCAGTTTTGACATCAACATTTCTAGCTGATTTAGATGAATTTAAGCAAGAAACCGTATGTAATCGGTAGAGTGAATATATTTTTAAGATTTCCTTGGTACAAGTAACTTAAATAGCAATACATGAGCTAGTTATCACGATGATCATAGCACTGTCACGTTCTGTCATGACAAAAAAAAATCGATGAGGTTTTGAAGAAAACCTCTGTCATCGTTTCCTCATCCGATGATAGTGACAGAAGTATCTCTGTAAATATTGCGTGAAATTTTTCATTGAAAATGACATTTTCCAGCCCTGCTATTGACATTGTGTATTTGCTGGGCAAATCATAAATAAAAAAGTTATGAATTATTGAAATAATCAGAATTTTTCAAAATACTACCGATAGTTATCGAATAAATTTGAAATAGTGTTAATATTAAAACACATTAAATTTACAACAAAAAATCCCATAATGCTTAAATTCCCCAAAGTTGTTATTTTTGAGATACTCGTAGGTTAAAATTCACTTATCGCATAATTTGAGCAATTTTCGCTCTTTTGAGATGATATCTTCAATCTTGAAAATATTTTTAACAAAAAGCCCAATTAATTTCCTTAAACTTTGCTGTTCACAGTTTTTCAATCGTACGCATGAGTTAAGATATAATTAATTAGCTAAACTAGCTAGCCGTATATGGGGCCAAACAGAAAAATAACCTTTCCCCTAACCGTCTCTTACTCATAATTAATTATATCTTAACTCATATCACAGTAGTGGAACTTCGGATCAGAAAGTGGCTCCACTTGTCATTTACGAACACTAGTGAACCTAGCGGTAGAAGGCATCTTCTACCTGCAGTTAAGATAGGCAGCATGCTATGATAGTGTGAGTGCACATAGAAAGCCCGTGTGAAACGCTACCACAACACATCGCTTGTTGAGCAGAAAAACGAACCACTTTTTGATTCACTGATTTGTTTGCACTTCCCCTTCTGTTCTGTGCTCATACATATGATTAAAAAACTGTGAACAACAAAGTTTAAGGAAATTTATTGGGCTTTTTGCTAAAAACTCTTTCAAGATTGAACACTCACGAATAACATCTCAAAAGATTGAAAATTGCTCAAATTATGCGACAAGTGAATTTTAACCTACGAGTATCTCGAAAATAACAAATATGGGAAATTTAAGCATTGTGAGCTTTTTTGTTGTAAATTTAATGTGTTTTAATATTAACACTATTTCAAATTTATTCGATAACTATCGGTAGTATTTTGAAAAGTACTGATTATTTCAATAATTCATAACTTTTTTATTTATGATTTGCCCAGCAAATACACAGTGTCAGTAGGTATTACTTTATCTAAACTACAAAATATATGTAAAAAAATATGAAATCTGAGTAATTTTATTTTTTTTTTTTTGATAATTTGGAATTTTTTACAGTGTATATTGTTTTTAAGGCACAATACTTGCCCGCAACTTTGATCAAACAAATCGTTCACGAGATATATATTTTTCTATTGATGCGTATCATTTTTGCATAAGCCCTTTTCAAGTGTTAGTCGTGTGCAAAACTAGGGAACCAAACATGTAGAATGTCATGTTGGGCAATAACAAACAACTGCGCAAAGTTTCATCATAATCGTAAAAGGTCGATCCGAAACGATTTGTGAATCTGTGTGGAACTGCTCCATATAGTATGGAATCCAAGGAATGTGTAAAAAAAATATAAAGAATAGGGCTGTATTAAATGTTGATGCAATACAAATATTTTTTAAATAATGAATTTAAAAAATCGACTGTTTTTCAAACATCACGTTTTGCAAGGCACTTTAAACCAGTGTTAGAAATGCTAATTACTACCAAAATGCTACTTTTCGAAATTATGAAACTATGTAAGATGCAAGAAGAGGAGGTAAAATTTGTGTATGACACATAAATCTGTCAAGTCGCGATTAGTGAGCGCTTAGCTTTATAGCTAATGATGACACTCTGGAAGCGAAATTGACAGGTGTTGTGTGTCATATACAACCTTTACTTCATATTCCTGTATCTTACAAATAAAAAAATATTGTTATAATAGCTCATAGTTAATAATTCCGAATAATTCCATTTAAGCTGTAATGAGCAATTGCAAGCCTGCTTTAATATCTCAGGTAAGTTTGACAATTGTGGGCATCCATTTCTATTAGAAACTCTAAGGAGTCATTCAATAATTACGTGAGCACTATAATACGATTTCTAACGTGGGAGGGAGGGAGTATGAGAAATATCTTACGTAAGTATGAACAAAACATATACCGACCATTCAAATATTCCCATATCTTTCAAAGGGGAGATGTCAAATATTACTTAGTCCTACAATGGGTGGAGGTGGTTTTAAGTGTTCGAGCTTAACCTTTGACTGATCGGAGTGAATTATCGGGATTGATGAGAAAAGTGTAAGCCAAGCAAAAATGGAAATTTATTTATTTATTTATTTATGACTAATTCAGCATTGATGGTGGAAGTTATAAATTAGTTCGTAGTGGTGTGATAATTAATTGACAATTAAGTGTGAAATTGTGCTGTGTGCCGCAAAAGAATTGCTGGATAAGTAGAAGAACAGCTGCCATTGCAGCTGAGTCTTGTCTTATTTGATTTTTACTTTCACCGTTGCACAGTAGTGGGGCGGCGAAGCCATTCGCGTGGCCAAAACCTCTAGCGCCGTTGGTTTGCTTTCTACAGCAACACAATATTCTACAAAGTTGCTCAATATTAAAAGCGCCATCTTTGGAAGTTTCATATTAGTTCATTTTCACGCCACATAGGTGGCGCTCGAGTCTATCTTTTGAATGGAGCATCATAGCTGAATGGGTTTTTCAGCAAAGTTGTGTAATTTGAAGTGTTGAGAAATGTTGTCCAAGACATTAAAACTCTATAACGCACATTAAGCGAGATATCGGTCAATTAGGAAAACTAACCTCTAAAATTGGGTTTTTTCCTTTTTTTACATATACAGTATGCAAAAAAAGTTTATCCACCCCCCTACCAATTAACTTTATTTTTGTTTTTCTGGTGAAAATCAGTTTAATGTCATGATTTATCAATTTATGTTTATTTATCACATTGCCATTGAAAATACGGCGTTTATATCTTTTCTTGAGAATTCATGTGGTAACAAATTACGCACAAAAAAGTTTATCCACCCCCAAACGGATACTATGATTTAAGTGTGCTTTACAGAGTTTTAGTGTGTATTCTGCAACTTTATCGAATGTAAGCATTGTATCTATCTGTCATTTAGTGCTCTTGAAGTTTTCGTGCTCAAAATTTCAGTTTTGTGTTCAAAATTGGAAGTTATTTGTTTCGAAATGCCCAAAAAAGACCAAATTTCGATCATTATCCGA